GTTGTACATGATGTGGAGTTACACTGGTCATGTATTCATACAAGAACATAGGAAAGTTATGTCCAATTCATTCCACTGTCTTTCTTATTTTCATACCCCCGCCCCCTTATTCCACTTTGTCTAATCCAGTTAACTTCTATTCTTCCCTTCCCCTGCTGCTTATTGTGAGTTAGCATTCCCATGTCAGAGAGAACTTCAGCCTTTGAGTTTTGGGGACTGGCTTATTTCACTTAGCAGGATAGTCTCCATTTCCATCCACTTACTATCAAATGCCATAATTTCATTCTTCTTTATGGCTGACCAACATTCCATTATGTATATGTACCACATTTGCTTAATTTATTCATCTGTTGAAGGGCACCTAGGTTTGTTCCATAGCTTAGCTATTGTGAATTGAGCTGCTATAAACATTGATGTGGCTATATTACTATCATTTACTAATTTTAAATCCTTTGGGCATATGCTGAGAAGTGGGATAACAGAGTCAAATTGTGGTTCCATTCTAAATTTTCTTAGGAATCTCCATACTGCTTTCCAGAGGGGTTGCACTAGTTAGCAGTCCCACCAGCAATGTATGAGTGTGTCTTTTCCTCCCACATCCTCACCAACATTTATTGTTACATGTATTCTTGATAATTGCCATTCTAACTGGAGTGAGATGATATCTCAGTGTAGTTTACTTGCATTTCTCTATTTGCTAGAGATTTGAATATTTTTTTCATATATTTATTGACCATTTGTCTTTCTTCAGTGAAATACCTGTTCAGTTCCTTTGCCCATTTATTATTTGACTTATTGGTTTTTTGGTGTTAAGTTTTTTGAGTTCTTTATATATCCTGGAGACTAATGCTCTATCTGAGGTTCAGGGGGCAAAGATTTTCTCCCTTCTATAGGCTCTCTCTTCACATTCTTGATTGTTTCCTTTGTTGTGAAAAAGCTTTTTAGTTTGATACCATCCCATTAATTGATTCCTGATTTTACTTATTGTGCTTTAGAACTCTTTTTGAGAAATTCATTTCCTAAGCCAACATGGATGGATATTTGGGTCTACTTTTTCTTCTAGTAGGTACAGGGTCTCTGGCTAAATGCCTAGGTTCTTGATCCACTTTGAGTTAAGTTTTGTGCAGGTTGAGAGATGGGGATCTAATTTCATTTTTCCAGTTTCCCCAGCAGCATTTGTTGGAGAGGCTACTTTTCTCCAATGTACGTTTGTATGTCTTTTGTTAGATTGATTTTGTGTGTCTTTTGTTAGATTTTGTATGTCTTTTGTTAGATTGATTTCCAAATATTCTCTTTGAGGCTTGAACTTCTTCTTCTCCTTCTTTTTTTTTTTTTTTTAAGATTTTAACTCATGTGAACCAAAAGGCATTTGGACCCATTTTCTTTTCTTTTTTTAAATAAAATTTATTTTCCATGTGCTCATTAATCTATATGTCAATTTTGGTACCATGTAAAAGATATATAGGCAAAGACACATATATAGACACACATACAATACATAGGTTTTTATATACATAAAAATACATTTTTATATAGAGAAAACCATGATTTTGAGCTTTCTCTTGAGTAATTGAACTCTGAATAATGACAGTGGGAAAAACAGGGTGCAGAAGAACCTCTCTAGTTAGATAAAACAAGACTATCCAAATGTTTCCTAAAAATCTCACCTTTGGACATTGATGCACTGAGGGCCAAGCCTTCAACATATGAACTTTTCAGGGACATTCCGGATCCAAACCATCACACTTTATAAATGCTTAACAAAATATATTAATGTAGGAGAACAGGATTCTAATGTGAATTCACCTCAAAACCTTGAGCAAAACCATGACCTCAAAAAAATACAGAAATTAAAAAAAATATGACATGGTCATATTCCTCTAGTAAAGGAGCATGTGGAACATGGAGTGCAATTTTGGATCAGATTAGAGTCAGTCCAGATATTTAAAGAGTGCAGGAGTCTGTGAAATATTCAGATAAAAGTTCTCAAGGTAAAGAAGATTTGAACATGTGGCATTGTTCCATTTTCCTTCCTTATGCCCAGCTAAAGAGACTAGGAAAAGCCACAGGAAGATGGGCATCCCTGATATTACTGAGTCCGTCAGAATTCCTTAGAGCTGACCTGTCAAGCTCTCTTGGAGAGGTGACCCTTACAGCTTGGCATAATGACTGCATTGTCCCAAGGCAGAATGCAGACCTTTGAAGCCTCCTCATATAACCTGGTCTAGCTGGCCTTTCCAGATCCCCTCTTCTATTTCTTCTGTTCTCTAGCATTAAGGAGAAATCTAGCAGAACCTCAGAGTTTAAGAACACATAAAATAACCATTTATGTCCCACAGCAGCTTGGATTTAAATGTGACACTTTTTCCCCTATCCTGGTCTCAAACTGACTTGGGCCCCTGCTCATGGGGCTTACATTTTAGAGGGGCATCAGGGAGTTAAAGAGTAGGGAAAACTGACATTTTGAGCATAGGAGGCAAAAATCTCATACTCAGGACACTTTTGATCATTTTTTCCTTTTGTAAACCATCAGGGCAAGTCAGCCAGAACAGAGACAGATAGTGGTTGATACCTCTGAAGGCTGTTGGGGTCAGACTCAGGACATGAGGCCTTTACACAGCACGAAGGATCAGCTGCCTTCATTTGTCTCAAGCCTACCTCTGTCCCCTACACCAACTTTCTCCCACAGAAAAGGAACTGAAGCAAGTCAGAACCAACATTCCCAACACTGAGTGAAGGAGGACCAGGCCCGCCCACCCAGCAAGC